CTCTGACTACGTCAGATGAGCTAATGAGAGATTTTATGACTTGGAAAGCGAGGAAGGAGCCACTAATGAGGAAACGAAATACTACGTAGGATCAGAGGGACTCGGGTTAACCACAATAAAACGTGTTCGCTGCATCTTACCTTTAATCAATACCAATGTAGAGGATGACACGGACCGTACGCCAAAGCTTTCATATCTGCGAACGTTGCTGCCAGTATGCTGTCACACCTCTTTTCCTGTAAGAGAGAAAAATATCGCGGTAACAGGTGGGTGCAAAAGGCCAGGTTTATTGGAAATTCAAAATCTGAAACCCTTTGCGACCAATGAGATAGCGTGTTATTTTTTCACTCCTTATAACTGGCAAATTAGAATACGGAACCTGTTCGTTACTCATGTTCGGAATTTGAAATTTGATATCCGAAATTTCGAATGTCGAGTGAACCTTCTAGCCTCTATATTTCGTATATAGGCCTTGCACAAACTCTCTCGGTCCGTCACTCGTATGTAACAGAGGATTTGTACTTATACTGCTGTTATTGGTGTTGTTAATAAGATCACACGTTCCAAAATCCAAACTCACTATGCAATCATTCAAGTAGGATAATGCGTGACGTCCATCTAACATCAATACGGAATTATCTTATTAGAATTAAGTCTGAAGGCTTCAATACGAAGTGACTCATTTATTTTGAATAATCTACGGTCAAGTTTATAATGGCGCATTAATTATGAAATATTCGCATAGAAAGATTTTCATCTCAAACTAAAGCCGTCCTCACATCGCAACAAAGCCTGCTGGCCTGTCTGAATGTGGCGACGTGAAAACTCATTTTAATATATCTATTACTAATTAGTGCGATTATAAGTATGCAAATTTGAAACATTACGAATTACTTGACATTAGGATTAGCGAACGTCAACAAAAATCTTTGCAACTTGGGAAGGCGCTTACAATTTTTAATCGGTGTCTATACATGGAAGATATGTGAAAAAATTGTGCTTTTTT